AAGTAAGTGTATTATTTGGAGACTTTGTCAATAGTAACAATACCGGTTTACATCTGTCAAAGGAAATTTAATGAAAGTTTTATATAATAGAACTCTTATAACTAGAAAAATAAGAAAAGAAAAAACAAACAAACAAACAAGATCAAATACAAGGAACAAAAAGTACACATTAACACGTGAGAACATGATAGATAGATAGATAGATAGATAGATAAATAGATAGATAGATAGATAGATAGAAAGATAGGAGAATAAAAGAAAAATCAAGAAAAAAGATAAAGAAACATGAAATCGCGTAACGACTATCAGACGCCAAGATTTGTTCCACGTGACTTGTCGGCTCTCGTTTCCGTTTTCCAGTCGCATGAGACTGACTTACTACAAGGAATCAGACCATTGACGCGTTTCCGGCCACATCGCGAGGACAAACGTGACAAAGTAGAAAATAGGAGAAGACGTAGAAGACGGTTGGAATGTTTTAATCAAAGGTAACTAACGTTTTCCTTTTATTATATCATCATCGATAAAAATTGGATTGTACAAAAAAAAAAAAAAAGATAGAATATGATGAAAGGATAAAAGAGAAAACCAGAAATCACACAAAAAAAAACCCCAACTCCTCCATCCACTTGTTCGATATTCAATTTCTTCGTACACGTTTCGTAAATTTTCTTCCGAAGTTTCTTAATCTTTTATAAGAGAGATTTTTTTCTATTCTACAAAAGGAGAATTATGTTCTTCTAATTTTGTTCTTTTTTTTTTTTTCTTTTTTTTATTTACGTGAAGAAAAGGAAGGGTTCTTTTAGCATGGTTAGAACTTTCTTATTCGGTTTGAAATTTAAAAAGGGTTTAACGAGTGTTCCATTTTTAACGAGATTGTTAAGAAGGGTATATATATATATATATATATATATTATATATATGTACTTACTTATATACTTTAACATTTACTTATTTACTTACTTACAGTACTTACTGAAAAGGGAATCCCCTAGCATAAGCCGCAATACATTTCTTAATCTTACGATTAGCCGCAGAAACGCGTGCTCTGGATTTCACGATATTTTCGTTTAAAAGAAAGGAAGGAAAGAAAAGAAAGGAAGGAAAATGAACAAAGAAAATAAGTAACAATAACATGAAAGAAATAAAAAAAAAAAAAAGAAATAAAGTAGGTCGTGAAATCGTCGCTTCGTTTCCGACAGAACGCGATTAAACCGGATGACGACGGTACGATGACTATATAGGGAAAAATAATTCTTACCGTATGGGGGAAACAAAAGTTTATTAACTGATGATACTATTCGGTATACTATTATCTTTTTATTTTATTTCCAATTAAAATACCTTTTAAATAAACGTTATTATCAAAACAAATTCTATTTGGGTTTAAAACAATCTTTCTCACGTCTAATGCATTTAGTAAGGAGACATTTTTTTAACGAGACTACTGTGAGAACGATAATTAGAGAAAATTTTAAATAATTTGTGAAGTTAGATTATTAAAAATCACGTACCATATGTGTAATTTAATATTAATTATTAAATATAAAAAATATGTTAATATATAAATTTATAAATATATAAATATATAAAATAATTTATATAAATATATATAATAATTTATATAAATATATAAAATATAATATATAAATATATAAAATATAATATGTAAATATATATAAATATATAAATATATAAAATATAATATGTAAATATATAAATATATAAATATATAAAATATAATATATAAATCTATAAATATATAATTAAATAAAAATATAAATTGATAAATATATAAATATATAAATATATAAAATATACACTAATCTATAAAATATATGAAAAATAATATAAAAATATATATATATTTATATATTATAATAGCCCTAGCCCACCATCTATTAACGTTAGTAATTTGTTTTATATTTATATAAATAAATAATAAAAATTGTTAAATGATTCTAAAACAAAAAATTATTCTCACTCACTCGTGAGTTGTTTACCAATAAACAATTAAACAGAACGATGTGATTAAAGAAGATATTGTTAACCAAAAAAAAAAAAACAAGTATGAATAATATTATTCTGATAAAAAAAAAAGAAGTTAATAATCTACTTGGACAATAAAAAAAAAAAAATAAAAAAAAACGGATGTGGTATGAGGAGTTTAATTTCTTAAAGATTGCGACTAGCAATCTTCCTATGGTCAACCGACCTAAACAACGATTAGGTATAACACTTTGTGTTCTTTTGCACGCTATAATGCGAATGAAAGAAAGAAAAAGAGATGCGGAAACGACTGCGACAAAAAAAGCAAAAAAGCAAAAAAAAAAAGGGATTACTGCGAAAGTTGCAATGTGACACGCGATTATGTTCTACAATATCGTGCATGTGTCATCATCCAAATTATCATTTTAATCGTTTAGGTCAACAGGTCACGATACTATTTCTTTCTTATTTTTTTTTTGTTTTCAATTCCTCTTTTCTTTTTTTTTTTTTTTTAATTACTTTCGTAACAATCTTTGCAATAATTTTATAAGATATTCTTTTATAATTATTGTTTGATTCGAAAACAAGAAAAGTCCAATTTTTAAAAGATAATATTTAAAGAATATTTTTTTTTATAATATTTTTAAAATGTTTTTTAAATTGAGAAATATATATTTGTTTATACAAAATTTTTTGAATTATTCATTATTCTTATGACGTATTGTTTTGAAAATTTAATATTATTTTTCTTTTTTTGTTTTTTTTTTAATAATTCTATTTAAGTAAATATAAATTAATTGAGATAATTGTTTCTTCAAATATTTCGATATTTTTATTTATTTAAAAATTGTGATAGAAAATAATTATTTATTTATTTCATTTAATTAAAACTTCAATAAAATTCAGTATTTAATTAAAACTTTAAATAAGATTAATTATTTAATAAAATAACAAACTTTTTTTAAATTTAAACGTAAATGAATTCGAATAATAATTTTTTTTTCAATATTTTTATATTTTTATTTATTTTTAAATTTAATAGTAAATAATTATTTATATTTTTCTACTATTAATAAAATTATCAAATAATTATTTATTGATTTTATTTAATAACAGTTAAATAAAATCACGTATTTAATTAAAACTTAAATACAATTAAGAATTTAAATTAAAGCTTGTAAATAATGTAAAATTAAAGTAATAATAAAAAATTAAGATTAAGATAATAATTTAAAAAAAGAAAAATTACAAAATATAAAATAATTAATAATACAAAATTTAAGTTATTTTATTAGATTTAATAAATTGAATAAATTTTTTTCTAACACCAATTTTTGCAATTGGACGAATAAAATATAAATCCGATCAAAGTTTTGATTTTATTTTGTTTTATCCACGAAATGAAAAAAAAAAAAAAGGAAAAGAAAAGAAAAGAAAAGAAAAGAAAAGACAAGAAAAATGTGTAGAAATAACCGAAAGGTGGAAAAGGAGTTGATAAGAAATGGTTGGGTGTACGCGTAACGATTTGCCTCGCTTAAAAAGGATTCATTGAGAGATGCAGGATTGACCGGGCCGAGGTTAATAAGTTGGGGTCAAGTGCACTCGTATCGGATTAAGCCGGTCGCGGAGAAATTGACCTCCGGCCAATTGCATGGGTTCTCCGTTCGCGTAGTATGCCACATGTGTGGCAAATAACTAGAATAAATAGACATTGCAGGTCAACTAGAATGTTTCCTAACTTTTTTGATCTTTAAATTGTCTCTCATTTAAAATACTTTTTAATAAGATTCATTTCAAGTATTGTTAACATCTGATAAAACTTTGACACTTATTTAATGTCATTTCATTTATTATCAGATTATTCCAATCGAGATAAAGAAATTCATCGAGAATTTTTCTTCAAATCATGCAATTTGTTCTTTAAATATTTAATCATTTTTCTTATTATGGTTTCATTGTATCAATTATTAATATTTATATATTATTATTATTAGAATTAAATTGAATGAGAATATATATATATGATTTATCTCTAGAAAATAATGTAAGGTAATATTTGAAAGTATTCTATGAGAATAAATTCAAAAATTTGTAGGATTTTGTAGGATTGTCGAAATATTCATTTGTTTCATACGATTAATAATTTAAATCCTGTGTCCACCAATACAGATAGTTTTTCGTTAGTTTAATAAATAAAATTAATTTAATAATTAATCAAATAATTTTTGTAAAATTAATAATTTAAATTATTCCTATACAATCCTCTAACTTTGATTTTTCATTTAAAATAATTTCAGAATGCAAATAACAAGAATTCAATAACAAAACCAATCAGAGAATATCTTCAATTAATTATCAAACCATAAATTCTGATAGTTACAAAATAAACAATGTTGTTATATTAATTTTTATATTTATCATATATAATGAAAAATAAAATAAAAAGGTATTATATAATATATTATAATACATTACTCTATATTACAATGTTGTAAATTAGATAGCACAATGTAACAAAATGTAAAAAGCTAACACAAAGCATAAAACTTTTCAAAACCTCTTTATAGTAAGCTCAAAACTTTTCGAACCCTTCGTCATAGTAAGCTCAAAACTTTTCAAACCGTGCTCATAGTAAGCTCAAAACTTTTCAAACCCTGCTTGCTCTTAATAAACTCAAAACTTGTCAACTTTTCATCGTCACTTATTTTGAACACATTTTCTGAACACATTTTCTGAACACATTTTTTGAAACTTTGCCTAGGTGGGTAGAAAAGGGATTGTTCTATTGTTGTTTGACGTAAAAAAAATGTTTATAACAAAGACCTTTAACGATACTTTTAACCACACGGAAGCTGTTAATGTGCACATTAACTTAGTAAAATATTCAAAGATTCAAAAACTTTTCATTCCTAGAGTTAAACGGAACAAGCCAATTAATTTATCTGAATATTAGTTAAATATTTTATTGCTTCAACTTGTAACATAAATTGTAAATAAAATTATTAGCTTACCCGGCTTTCTGCGCGAGCTCCACAGCACAGGGGGGTGCGCGGAGGCGGCGACGGCAACGGAGGGCTTACCACCAGAGGCAGCCAGCTTGACTGCGTTCGGCAAACCTAAACAAAACACCAAGAAAATTTGATTATTTCATTTATAACAATTAGTAAATCAAATAACAAAATCTAACACAACATTCTGAACAATCATTCGTGTTTTAACAAATATTCCAAGTAAAAGAAGAATACATTATTTGATTTATTTGTAGTTTTTAATCAAATAATAACAACCCCTTAAATTAAATTGACAAATAATGTATGACAAAATGTATAATTTAGTTACTACTATTTTGTAAAAGATATGTTTAATATAAAAAGGGTACATTATTTGGTTTATTTATTTCTAATTTTTTAATCAAATAATAACAACCCTTAAATTAAATTGACAAATAATGTATGCCAAAATGTATAATTTAGTTACTACTATTTTGTAAAATATATTTTTAATGTAACAAAGGTACATTATTTGGTTTATTTATTTCTAATTTTTTAATCAAATAACAACCTTTAAATTAAATTGACAAATAACCAATGCTAAAAGTTATACTTTAGTAATTAATATTAAATTATTATTTTAATTTACTTTATAAAACGTTTGAAATAATTTATATAATTTATTTATTCATTGAAAACTTGTAATTTAAATAATTCCATAAAACATATAAGCAAAGAATAATATAAGCAAAATTAAAAAAATAAATATTCAGAAGAGTTGGTTCAAAGGTCAATGTACAAGCGTTGTAAGCAATTTTATTCTTTTGTTCTTTTTTGAGTACATCTTATCCTCTTATTTATTTTACAGCCCTTTATTTTTTATCAGAATAATACAACGCACGGTATAGAAAATCCAATAGTCTAAGGAAAAGAAACGAAAAATGTTAAAAAAGAGAAAAAAGTCACCCCTTCGCAATATGGTTTTCAAAAGGGTGGTACAGTGTTCGTGCTGCCACAAATGCTTCTACCCTATAGTTCTTCTTTTTCTTTTTTTTTTTTTTTTTTTTAAATATACCTCTATTTATGATCTTGGTTACCCAAAGCTATTTCAGCCCTTAGGCCAGTGCCTTTCGTGTGTCCTACCATTGAACAAACCCCACGTTATACATACATATAGCTTATAAAATGTTTCCCCCACCTTCCACCCAACCCCCAGCAAATGTGTGAGTGTTTTTTTTTTTTTACGGTAGAGAAATTTTTTTCCTTTTTTACTACCCCTTTACACTTATATTTTATTACGATCGAATGGTTAAACTCGTTCGACGTAATATTTTCCACTACGTTTAACAACATTTTAACAAATGAATTCTACACACGAAATATAACGAAATAATTTGGAAAAAATAATAAAAAATTAAATGAAAGTCACTAATGAAACTCTTTCATCTTATCTTGATAGAAAAAAAAAAAATAAATCTTGTTATCTTGTTTATCTTAGACCAAATTTCTGCTTACTGTCAACTTAAATTCATCCAATTTGATTACCCACAACTGAATGTAAGATAAAAAAAAAGAAAAAGTAATATGAGAATAATATGAATGAATATTTTTAAATGTAAAACATCTCACGAATTTTCACGTGTTTTCTGTTAATTAATTTGTTAATCAAATTTGATAATAATTAATAATTATTAAAAATAATTTTGCTCCTAATGATATCAATGAATATTTTTAAACATAAAAAATTTCCACGAATTTCCACGTGTTTTCTGTTAATTAATTTGTTAATCAAATTTGATAATAATTAATAATTATTAAAAAAAAAAAAAAAATTATTTTGCTCTTACTTATCAAGATAAAAGTAGGATAAGAAAAATACAAACACTATTGCAATATATTATATTGCATGTGTGTATTTGAGACGAAAACAATAATTTGGTTTCTGTTAATAACATTTGAAAACTACTTGCTAATAATCTTATTGGGCTACACAGGTGTGTTGATACAAATTTGGTAATCCCACGAATGCCATTCACGTTCGACAAAAATGTTCCCTTTTTTTACAACTTCATCTTCTTTTATAGGATTTTAAATTGGCTATAATATAAAAAGCTTCCTTTTCACACAGAGAAAATGTACATTTTTGATACGAGTTGAAAAATCTGAACTTACACACGAAAAAGTAACTCTCTACATTTATTTTTCTTTTTTTTTCTTTTTATAACTTCATTTTCTTTTATACGATTTTAAATTGCTTATTTTAAATAAATATAACTTAAGAAAATATCGATATTTTCATAAAGTATCGTAACGATGTAATAATACTGTAATATGATCATAGTTCATATACAATAAAAGTTCATTTTGTTTGTCAAATTTTCTATTGAAATGTTTATCTTCTTGAAAAAATAATACAATCTAAAACAAAAAGTTAACATATCATTACTATTGCATTAATAACAGTTAAACCTTCGATAGGCACGTGTAAAAATTTAAATTCACGTATCAATAAATTTGAATTACATTTTAATCAAATTTTCTTTCTCTAACATATCACCCATATTTTAATATTTCATAATCTTTATTATTCGATCGCTAAAATATTCTTGTTATACCAATTTTGTAACACCAATTTAAAATACAGGAATAAATTTAATATTTTTGAGAATAATTATTAATATCATCGTTGATTTGTATAAGATTTAAATATTAATTAATTTATATATTTTTAATAATAATTGTAAGTAAATTTAATAATAATAATAATAGTTTATTCATTTCTTAATCAAAACATACCCATTTTGTAACACTAACTTAAACTACGAGAATAAATTTAATATTTTTGAAAATAATTATTAATATCATCGTTGATTTGTATAATATTTAAAGATTAATTAATTTATCTATTTTTAAAAATAATAATAATAGTAATAATAAGTAAATTCAGTAATAATAATAACAATAATGATAATAATAATAATAGTTTATTCCTTTTGTAATTTTAACAAAAATCAATCAATAATAAACAAATATATTATATTTTTGTTTATTAAACCAATCATTTAATCGTTCGTGTAAAAAAAAAAATGAAAAAAATACATGTACAAGTAGAATTATGTTTAGTAGATTTAGGATGAAAATAAAAAAGAAAATCTTTCGACTGAATTCAATATAATACACAAAGGTAATCTAAAGTTGGGATCATTTCACAAACTGGGATATCTGATTACGTGTGATCATACACAAAAGGAAACGTTAGCAATTCAATCGTATTATCGTTGAACATGATCGTTGGCGCCAGTCGATATACATACGTAACTTATTGTTAAATGATTCTGACAGTCCACGTGGGCGGTCCATACACATTTAGTAGGGTATACATGCATTCAATAGTGACCAATGAAGTACAACTATTATCACCATCGATTGAATAAAAAATAAAAAAAATAAAAGAAGAATTGAGAAGGAAAAATTTAGAAGAACAAAAAAAAAATATATATATATATATCGTCGCAGTGTCGTCGTCGTCGTCGTCGTAATCGTAATTTCACGTGACCAAACTAGTAATAAAAATAAAAATAATAATAATAGGAATCAATAAAAAAACAAAAAAAGCGTCAAATTGTATTGTTACGTTCGATTTTATTCTTTACTATAAGAAGATATACGAAAGTAAGGGATTTTCACGTACAAGTTATTCACGTGTAGGTGAAATAAAAAGCATCATCAGCAATAAAAGTGGTTAGGTATGGTAAGAAACGAGGAAGAATGGGTGGGGAGGGAATGAGGGTGGTTAAAACGGGGGAGAGAGGCGGAGAGGGACGGAGGGGGGAAAATGAAATAAAATGTTTCCCTCCTTCTTTTTCGATTGATTTCTTCATGGCGGTATGACCGCAATAAAAATTTTTATGCAAACACAGACAGTCAACGACGATACGTCGTCGATGACGATGACTATGTACTATTAAGAAATATAGCTAGATACATAATGCATGGCCTTGCAATTTGTACGAAATCCGGTCAAATTTCCGTATTAAAGAAATGACGTCTTTCGTAGCTTAGATTTCATTTAATCGTGATTATGCGTCAGTGTATTATGACGCGAATCGTAGAAATTATAGAAAAGTTTTTTTTTTTTTTTTTTTTT